GAAATAAAAACCCCAGCAAATGTGTGTGTGGGTGTTAGTTTATTTATGACTTGATGTGCGTCTGTTTAAACAGTAGGCGTCTACAGCAAACTGTCGGCAATGATGTTATTGCTGGTACCGTGCAGCAGTACTGCCGCCTGTTGGGAGCTCACTTCACTTGTCAGACCAGAACAGCTAGGCGGCCCATTCCCATCACTAAATCCATTTAACACTTATGTACGTATGTGCGGGTACATCTGTCTATTCTAGGAGGAGTGCCAGTGCCCTACTCAAGTGTCCAAAGAGTCGCAAAGATAGCGAGAGAGAGAGAGAGCGAACTTCCTTGGGGGAGTGGAGTGGAATCCCTACCATACATTTTCATCCTCGTTCATGGGGTAATACAGCATGAAAAGTATTTCACGCTGACTCTTTGGTTTAACGTCAAACAATTGACGTTGAGCGCAAACTTGTGCTCCTTGTGCCTCCTGCTAAAAGCGGATGATAAAAGAACGTGAAGGCTGGTGTGTGACATCCTCCGCTGGAGCAGCCTCCAGCATGTGTAATTTCGAGAGCTGTGACTTTGACTTGAGCCCAAGTTTTATGTATCCCTCCGGTTAGAGATAGCTACAGACTTGATGTGCATTTTATGGGGCATTATGCGCTCACCTGTATGTATATCTTATGAGTAAAAGCCCCCTGCCGCTGCTGCTGGATATTCCTGTTTGAGTTTACAAATTATTTCATTATCGTGTCCGCCCCACCCTCCGAGCTCATCTTACTTAGAGCCAATCAAAATGCTCGGCTAAACTTTGTGCCATAGGCGACCCCCCAATGCAAACAAGCTGTCATTGCCCGCACGCCTGCTCCCTGCTCCCTGCTCCATCTAGCCTGAGCTCTTAGCCCTGACTAATAGGTATAGTGCGGTCGAGGCATGCTAATAAGCTGGTGCTGGTGCCTGTCACTAAATTAGTTTACCGCCCAGCCCGTGCATGAAGCGAAAAGTGACAGTTTTGGCGGTGGGAGGGGTGCAGGCGAAGGCTGTGCAAGCTAATTAAAAAGTTTTCGTAAATTTTTCAGTTTGCAGCGTGGCCGGGCATGCCGGCCAGGGAGGCAGGAGACGCGTGCTCGCTCATGTTGACAATTCAATTTGCACTGGAGCGGTAATAAATCTTATTTGCTGTGAAAGCAACATACCATAATTGAAAGTCAGGCTCTCAGCAGAGAGCCCTGTGTGCACTCCTACTTTGACATGAATAACAAATTGGCCTACCGAAGGTGCAACGTGACGTATACGTAGCCGGGTGTAAGTCGGACACGCAGCGAGGAATATATGCAATTAAAATGCTGAATCCCTTTGAGGCTGCTGTCCGATAAGAGAGGCAGGCAGCGTATGCGAGCTGCAACTCCACGCAGCTTGAGCCAACAACCCCCGTTTGGAGCATGCCGCCTGCCGCCTGCCTTCTGTTGCATAAAGTAAACATGGCAACGCTTTCACGTGGCGTGCACCTCGGACTGGGCACAGGGCACGGGCATCAACCATCTCAGTTCGAGCTTTAAGTTTCTGAAATACGTATTCGATTTGTGAACCCTGAACTAGCCCCTTTAAATTCCTATCCCTTTTCGCATCAGGAATTTCTCCCTCGTTGTCATTTTTCTTGTCTGCTTGTTGCCTCGAGCGTGTGTAACTTTGATAGATTCCTGAGGGGAAATGCATCTACTATTTATTCAAGCCACCTTTTTGCCACGTTAGGGAATGGGAAATATTTAAGGTTTATTGAAAACATGGACCCTGCATTTCGGTTGCCATTGAAGATGCGTCCATCTAATTGGTGCATTCTATCTGATCGGAATCGGAATGAATGCCGATACGCTGGTGACCTTTTCATCATGAAATGATTGGCTGAGCCCATTCCAACGCTGATTTGTATTTCCACAGGATGCCGCCATCTGTGTCAAATTTCATTTGGAGCGAGAGAAGAACCCGCACAAATTCAACAGCCGGATGAAGAACAAACTTTGGTACTTTGAATATGCAACGTCCGAAACGTTTGCAGCGTCCTGCAAGAACCTACACGAAAGCATCGAGATTGTGGTGAGTGTAGGGAGGGATATTGGGTGGCATATCTGAAGGGTTGTCCAATTGAATTTTGCCTCCTTGTGTATTATAAATGGATTACCCAGTGTAAGAGAAAGTGAAAAACATTCGCTCAATATTTACAGTGTGACGGTGTGGCCTTGGACCTCGCCAACGGTCCCCACCTGCAGGGAGTGGCCCTGCTCAACATCCCCTACACCCACGGCGGCTCCAATCTGTGGGGAGAGCATCTGTCCCAGAAGCGGATGCGCAAGAGCGCCGGTCCCTTTGGCAAAAGCAAGAAGCTCAAGTCCAGCGACAAAGAGCTCTCGGCCACCAGCTTCACCTCCGTGGATCTCTCGGTGGCCATACAGGGTGAGTGGGACGTTTTCGATGTTATCTCTATCGATGTATCTCTACTTTGAGTGTTTCCCCGCAGATATTGGTGATCGTTTGATAGAAGTAATTGGCCTGGAGAACTGTCTGCACATGGGCCAGGTGCGAACGGGTCTGCGCGCCTCCGGTCGCCGTTTGGCGCAGTGCAGTGAGGTCATAATCAAGACGAAAAAGACTTTCCCCATGCAGATCGACGGCGAACCCTGGATGCAGATGCCCTGCACGGTAAGAGCGAAGGTTTAAACAAGACTCAGACTAGACTGATCCTTCTCCCCTGGCAGATCAAGGTGACCCATAAGAACCAGGTGCCCATGCTGATGGCTCCCAGATCGGAGAAAGGACGCGGCTTCTTCAATATGCTGTGCAGCTGATTCAGGCGCAGCGCATCGACTGACTTTATGGGCCGACAGGCCATCGAGTCAGCCGATGAGCTGGATGACGATGAATTTCGGATCGTAACTAGGAGCACCACCGTCCATAATATAGCCTAGCGTACATAGCTTTAGCCCCGCCCCGGCATACCAACGGATCGTCTCGATGTGGTTGACATCACTTTCCTTTCATTCTATATACAGACATACATACATATACTCGTACATATGTACATTGTACATATATTTGTTTATGATGTATTTATTGTATTTATATGCCAAGTGAGTTGCAGAGCTTTATAACTAGTCTTAGTGTAGCCAAATATACAAAAAAACGAGTCGAATCCATTCCACTCCGTTGGGAAGATCCGAAGAACCCCAAAAACATTTACACACATTTACACACACACACATACGCGTCAGTGTTTACCATGAGAAGGCTTTAGATGTACAATGCATACATACATACAAACATATTTATGAAAGCATATTTTAAGACCACTTTAACGATAAAACAATTATGAAAACTTGTCCAATAACGCAACTGAAATGAGACCAACAACCAGCAACAAAAACAGAACAAAAACTACAACTAGAACAGGTAGAGAAACAACAACAGCAACAACAAGAAAACAGCATTGTAGTGCGAATTTTATGCCTAGAATAATGGGGAGATACTCGTACATATATTGTACGAGTTTTACTCACTTAAGTAATTTATTCCGTCATCATTAGAGGACTCTCTGCCCCTGAAGTGATGCGTGTTGGATCCTCCAAATGAAACATATCATTGGTCCACCACTGACGGGGCAAATTTTCTGAATTTTACTTTATCTTGTTTACTGTATATAGTACATAGGAAACTACATAGTTTAAGAAAATGTAATTTGATATACAATTATCAATTAAATGGTGAAGCTTTAAATGAATTTTTTACATAAGAGAGTACATATATCGAGATAAGAACAAAGAACAGATGAGATATAATACTTCAATAATAAATATTTCATATAATCATATATGTACATATATTTATGTATGCTAATGCTATACAAAATACTCGTAGATGAGTCAGAAACACATCCACAATTGTACACAGATAAACACAGAACAGAAAACATTCCAAGTATACACACACACACAGAGTTATCCAACAAATACATATACGAATATATATAGTAAAGGGCTTAGAAACTGCTAAATTTATGTTGTAAGACTATTAGATGCGGCACGAAATATTAAATAGATTTATAGAATAAATTCAGGGGAGTACTCGGCAAGAGAGGATCAGCAGTCCACTAGGAACTAAAAAAGTACGTAACACGCATACAATGTACATACTATTTTAACTAATATTTCTGTTGCTTCTCTATTTCAGCTAGCTAAATTAATAGTCTCGATTCTGAGATGCAGGATTGGTTCAAGAAGAGTATTTCCAAATACAATTCTCTCTCTTCCGAACCATTTGCCACACAGCAGAGCTCTCAATTATCTTCGAATCTTTTCTTGCAACTTGCAAGTGCCGCACTGAACAGATCCGCAATCAGTCAATAGCAGCTATACTCTTCAGAATGTATGTATGTGTACGTGTATTGCATGTATGTATTTCGTTGGATTACAAATGCAGAAGCATAGCAATATGCATAAAAAAAACAATTTAATTTTGCAAAAAAAAAAAACATTTTCAATGCTACGACCTTGCGCCCAAAGAGCCGAAGTCCCCTCGAAGGACGGGACCTCTCGTGCTTTTGGCGTCCGAGGATCAGCAAATGCCACACAGTAGCCAGTTAACATTAATTATAAATGAAGAACCTAACATTAGTAAACCGACGAAGCATAGTAATGGCCACTCTCCACTGCGAGAATGGTCTAGCTTGTGTACAGTACAACTAAATCTAAGGATATACAATTACATAATAAAAATGCATAACTATCTAAGCTTAGCTCTAAATATACTAACAGATAGAAAACATATGTAACCTTTATCTGATATTACGAATGAACATAACCCCGAGAAGACAAGTGGAACTTGAAAACTACATAATTAGCCTTGTTCCTTTTTGCCAGTGCTTGATTTAGGCTTGAGAATTGTAGATTTATCGGTGCAACAAACATATACATATGTAAGACTATAACCACTATTACTATATGCATAGTTAGTTGTTCACTTATTTACTGTACAATTTGGATGTTCACTTGTGCCAAGTCATAGAAGAGGAGCAAGCAGCATTGGAATGCCCTCTAATACACAATATTTAGAATATTCAATGAATGTAAAACTGTAACATAGAAGTCCCTTTCCCTCCCCTCACGCATCTAAATATCCACATATGTATACTCCCCATAATCAATGTTTAAAACATCCACAAATATATGCAAATTATCCACATGTGTAGTTTCGGGCGAGCGTTTCATTTGCTCAGCCCGTAGGCATTCGCCAGTTGCAGCTGAACGTGAGGTCCGTAGAGGCTGATGAAGGTGAGCACACGGTTGGCGCTCGGCTCGCCAAACTGGTCGAGCACCTCCGCTGTCCGGCACGGATGCAGCGCCATGAACGGACGGAACAGCACTGGATGGTCCGTTTGGGTGAGCATCTGATAGAGATCTTTGGACGCAGTATCTGGCATAAAGACACGCCAAGTGGCCTCCAAGTCGAGGAGACTTCCATCTGTAATTGGGTCTTCAGTTGGGTTGATCATTTAATTACTTGATCATAATACCTGATCGATGAGCCTGGAATAATAGCATGGGCACTTGATACGACACACTATAGACTACGTGGTACTCCACATTGATAAGAGTTACATAACCATCGTTGGACTCTTTACATTTAATCTTTTGGCTGTACTTGAGGAACGTGTTGGGCTCACTGGCATCCTAAAATAAAGATAACAATTTTGGTCAGTGATTTAATAATAAAAGATTTACGCATACCTTCTCATATAGCACCCAGCAATCGCCCAACTGCTCGGATATTTTAAGAAACTCTTGGGCCTGGGCCAGGAATTCCTTCCAAGTCATTTCGCTCATTTTTTTGCTGAAAAATAGAAAACTTTACTTATTTGTAATACTCAAAAGAACAGTGGATTGCCTCTGCACTGAGTAAATAATATAAAAAAGAGAAACCAAAGTTTTTACTCCAGAAACAAACAGCATAAATATATTTTAGAATGTCTTGTGTGTCCTACAGCAAAATCGAAACTTCAAAGCACCTAAACACGGAATACTTAAGCTAAACACATATCCTCTGTCCTGCAAAGCCATCCGGGAAAACAACTACAACTTAAGCACTGCGCTGATCGCCGTCCAATGCGACCACTTGCACATTCTCATTGCGGCGAACCTGCACCACAGTCACTGTGGCGGCCTTGTCGTCGAACTTGCACGTCACGGTGACTTCACTCAGCTGGAAAGTAAAGATCTGAGATCCGTATTTTGTGCGCAGGTACACTGAGCGTGGATCCGCCTCCAAGATCTCAACGATGCACTGTTTCTCGACCTGCAACTCTTTCAGCTGGGCCTCGGCGTGCTCGTTAAAGCAAACGCTTAGCCGATGGCTGGCCACTACCCAGTTGGGCACGCGAACGGCGCTCGGTGGTGGCAGAATTGCATCGGAGCTCATGTTGTTGCCCGCATAGCCAGCGGCACCGTATAGTTCCAGATCGGACTCCTCTCCATCAGGCTCCTGGCGGGAGCCGTAAAAGTCCAGGCTTGTCTCATTCGGAACAGCAGAGGCTCGACCTGCCACAAGGCCAAAATTGTTGATTGATTGTAGAGGTTCGCATGCGCCAAACATACCTGAGTCGATGCTCAAGGCTGGCGCATCGTAGTATGGAATGTACGGCTTGATGTCCAGCACAGGTGTTCCGTCCACCATGTCCGTGCCAAAGAAACTGATGGTGGCATTTTCAATTTTCTCAATTTCCACCAACGACAGCCCGATGGGACACGGCCGGTGGGGCGAGCGCGTGGAGAAAACTCCAACTCGTTCCCCGCCTAGTCGCGGGGGTGCCACTTTGGCCTTTGGATGAGCATTATTGCGATGGAAGTGGTAAATCAGCCACAGGTGTGAGAAGTCCGACAGTCCCTCCAGCGAGTGCTCCGGGTTGGTAAAGACGCCATCGTTAAGCTGGATAAGGCTACGTAGGCGGCTGCCCACAATCGATTGCCTCGGCACGGCCCGCTTCTCCGGAAAGGCTGTCCGTATTATGCCAATGGGACGAAAGTGAGCAGACTCCTCAATGCTGTTGCTGGTTCCACTCCCGTTCATGTCCTATGGTTTAGCATTGGTTTAAATTCTGTCTGTGTGTGTGTGTATTATGTGTTTGATGGTCAGACGCACCTGACCCTGAAACCCGGGCGCCGCCTCCGCCTTGTCAGTGTCAGTGGCCGTGGCGGTGACGTCCTTGGCCTTGGCATTCTGCTTGTTCGTACAGCCTTCGCAGCGAAAGTCCTTCAGCAGGCGGGTTATTGTTTCTATGTCCTTGCGCTGCACATGCTGTAGGTTCCGCACTTGCTGCCTGCGTATTCAATTAATCAATCGCTGGTAAACTCGAACTTTAACAACGCAAAGGACGCACCTCAAATTGTTAATCTCATTCCGCGCAATCGTTAATTGATTCTTCAAGTCACCCTCATGCATGGCTTCTCGCTCTGCAGGACCGGCTGCACCAGCGACTCCTAAATAATTTAATAAATAAATGTTTATTTACCTCCCGAATTTTGTGGTGTTACATCCAATATCGATATAAGTGATGTTATCGATAGTCTCTGCTGCTGGCGATGAGCGATAACTTTCCGCGAGGGCTGCAGCGCAGTTTCACTTTAAACGAGAAGGGACGTGTGAGACGCTTCTTATGCGTCACAACTTTTATACCCGGCACTCAGTACTACGTCTGTACCTTAACGGTTTTTTGTCAAACTTTACATTTCTTTTTCATCTGTCATCTACAACCACAACACTTCTCACACCAAAACGCTCCTTAAGCTAACCCCCCTTTCCTAAAGCCACACACTGCAGAGTCCCGGCAGAGCCAGAGGCAGAGGAACGCGAGAGGCAGAGCCCGCACACTGCGCGAAGCAGAGTGTGAATGAGAGAATGTGCAAAAAAACAAATATATGCTGCAGGACGGGGTGGGTTTAGCCACTGCAAATTAATTTCTTCATTGTGCCTATAATAATGATCCAATCGGATCCCAATCTGATAGATATGGCCATTCCCTACGGAATGGCGTTTTTAGATTTCATGTATCTTTAAAATTGTAGAGGGAGGTTTTCGCCCTTTTGCGGGGGCACTGAAATACACTGGTTTCAGTGTGAGCATATAGCAGTCTGGAGCCAAAATTTGGTGGCTCTAGCTCTTATAGTCTCTGAGAACTATCCGGCGAACAAGACGGACAGACGGACGGACGGACGGACAGACGGACGGACGGACAGACGGACTGACAGACTCTTGATGCTGATCAAGAATATATATACTTTATGGGGTCGAAAAAGATTCCTTCTGTGCGTTACATACAACCGTTATTCCCCACAAATACAAGATACCCTATTTACTCTTCGATCACCGGGTATAAAAATTAGCCGTGACTTTTTCCATATATGATGATTTTTGTTAAATTTAGCGATCCAAGGGGGTTTGAACAGTTTAATGAGAACAACTAAATATAAAATAAAATTTATTAATATTGGGCTATAGAAAATATATAGACGATGATGATTTTTCATCATTATCCGGTGTTCCTTAAAGCCTAGTACTCAGATCGAAGAAAAGGGGTCACAAAAAAATCAGGGATGATATTCGTATTGAACCGATAAGAAAATGTTGTGTGTTTGTACAAAATAATATAGTTTTATATATAGTATATAATTATATATTATTTGGTTAGTGCCGGCGTACAGCCGATAGAAAGTAACTTGTCCGCGCAAAAATTTCTTATCGGTTCCATATGAATTTCATCCCTGATTTTTCTAGAGGCCACTTTTTTTCGATCTGAGTACTAGGCTTAAGTGTTTATGGGTTTTGGTTCAAAACACCTACAGACTTTTTCACAGTACGAAAATCCTCCAGACATATTTCTATCTCTCACACCTCACAAAAACCACCACTGCTGCATAAATTGCACTGGGACCATACGGTCAACGCACGAACACACACATGCGGTGTCCGTGTAAAGTCGAGAAAAACCTAGTTTCGTGAGCTAAGCGAATAAGGACTTGAGAGACGCTTCATAAATACACTTGTATCAGTGTGATATCACAGCAATGTTGGAGCAAAATTCTGGGGCTCTAGCTCTTATAGTCTCTGAGCCAGACGGACAGACATACATGGCCATTTCGACTCGGCTATTGATGCTGATCAATACTACCAACAACAGATTATAGATTCTTTATGGGGTCGGAAATATTTCCTACATCCGCTTTTGTGCACATAAATCTTTTATATTTATTTTGATAATGTGCTTAATTCCCAAACTTAAAATATCAAAATATATCGCAAAAACATATCAATTTATTGATATTTTGGGGGAAAAAAGTCACGATATAAATATATTTTTTTTTTAAAATATCGATATATTGATATTTTAATATATATTTGACAACCCTACACTGCTGGGAATGACTATATGAAATTCCCAGTCGGTCCATTTTGAAGCAAAAACTCGAAACAGTAAACAATTTGTCAATTTAATTTGCTCAACGAGTAAGCTTGTTTGTGTCAAAGACTACTAAATTGTGTATTATACGTTTCGAAATCTGTTTACAGCTAATAAAACTCCGAAAACATGTCTCGCGGAAGTTCAGCCGGCTTTGACAGACACATTACCATCTTTTCGCCCGAGGGACGCCTCTACCAAGTCGGTAAGTGCGCTTGTGGTTGGTTGCCTGCAACTCTCTAACAATAGTGTTCCTCCAGAGTATGCGTTTAAGGCCATCTCACAGGAGAACATCACTACGGTGGCGCTGAAGAGCGGCGACTGTGCTGTGGTGGCCACCCAGAAGAAGGTCACAGAAAAGAACATTGTGCCGGAATCGGTGACACATTTGTTCCGCATCACCAAGGAAATCGGTTGTGCCATGACTGGGCGTATTGGTAAGTGCCACTGCTGTCCCTTAATATTCCGCATTTAATAAATTCCTTCTGAATCTTTAGCGGACGCTCGCTCGCAGGTGCAAAAGGCGCGCTACGAGGCGGCCAACTTCCGCTACAAATACGGCTACGAAATGCCTGTGGATGTGCTGTGCCGTCGCATTGCAGACATCAACCAGGTGTACACGCAGAACGCGGAGATGCGTCCGCTTGGCTGCAGCATGGTGCTGATTGCCTACGACGACGAGATTGGCCCCTGTGTCTATAAGACCGATCCAGCTGGCTACTTCAGCGGCTTCAAGGCGTGCTCGGTGGGCGCCAAAGTGCTGGAGGCAAACAGCTACTTGGAAAAGAAGTACAAGAACAATCTCTCTGAGGAGAAGGCAATCCAGCTGGCCATCACCTGTCTGTCCACTGTCCTGGCCATTGACTTCAAGCCCAATGGCATCGAGATTGGCGTCGTCAGCAAGTCGAATCCCAGCTTCCGCACTCTAGACGAGAAGGAGATCGAGGAACATCTGACCAAGATCGCCGAGAAGGACTAAGTTCTGTCCGCTAGTTTGTAATTTTTGAAACTTTTCTAAATGGAACCGTGGTAAAACAAAATAAAAATGCTCTTGGCTTGCATTCTAAAACAAGGCAAAAACGTAAACAGTATACAGATTTATTGGAGCCATCTCAGGCCTTCTACTTGTGCACCTTGCCCCCATAGCGCATGACGAAGGCGTTTACGTCGAACTTGCGCTTGCATCCTTGATAGTTCATGTAGCGAATCTTGCCGAATATCGCACGCTCCTTCCAGCCCATATCGTGCACGCCTCCGATGGACCACATGCAGCCCACATAGCCGTTGGGATCGCGCCCATCTAGACTGTACTTGTCGTTGAGCAGGATCGAGTACTCCAGCGCCTGCTCCGGCGTGGCCGTCCACTCGAGTATCTTCTTCGCCCAGTACATGCGCAGAAATCCGTGCATCTTGCCCTCTCGCACCAGCTGCAGCTGCGCCGAGTTCCACAGGTCATCGTAGGTCAGCGACTGAAAGATATTCCTTCATATTCAACAGAGTTTGCTTACGATTTTGCTCGTTGCTTACCTGTTCGAGCTCCTCCAGGGTGTAGCATGGATCTCGCTTGTCCTTGCGATGTGCTTCCAGAGATTGGAGGGCCCACGAGCTCAGGCCTTTCAGGTTGTCGTAGTTCTCGTTGTAGTAGCAGAAATTATCGGCCAATTCTCGGCGCACGATGGCCTCCTCACAGAACGCATCCGCCGAGGCCTTGTGCTGACTCCGATATCGCTGAACCTCCAAAGCACAGCGCTGGGCCGAGATCTGACCAAAGTGAAGCCACGGCGAGAGTCCGGACAGCGCATCCACTGTGGGATCATTGCGCTTGTCGTTGAATTTGCCCAAGCGCCGGCTGCAGAACTCGTACAGTTGGAGGCAGGCAGCCTTGTAGCCGGGTTTCGCCCACTGCACCTCATCCACGTCCATGTCGCACTCCAGCATCGCATAGGCAGCTGGCCAGTCGATGGGTTTCACCTTCTTGCAGCCCTCTCCATGCGGATGCTTGATCACTGGCGGAAAATCGCTCAGAAACTCGCCCAACTTGGAGTTTATCTTGTTGCGTATCGTCCTAGCCGCGTACTCCTGCTTGTCGGAGGTCACCCAGAGCGGAACTACGTTGTGGGCATCAACCTGAGTCAGCGGGACGTTCTTGGGCAGCGCCTTTGCCACATCCTCCACCCATTTACGGGGCCCACGCAGCGGCGAAAAATCGCACACCACCGCACCAACATGTTTGGAACGCACGAATTCCGGCAGACGATCCACAGCTGATCCCAGTAGCACGTGGAAGGGTATACCTAGCTCCCGACACTGCTGCTCCACCTCCTGCAGGCCGCCCATCATGAATTTGTAGTGTCTGATGTTGGCATTGAGAAACTTCGGCACCAGGCAGAAGACCACTGCCAACGGCAGCTCCAACTTCAATGCCAGGCGCTGTGCAAAGAGCAGAGCCCAATTGTCCTGCACTCGAGCATCCCGCAACATCCAATAGACGACGCCGCCAGGGCAGTTTTCCCCGACATCGTTCGCCTTGGACAAAACGCGCACCCGTTTCTTCTTGAACGGGAACTCCTGGACACTCGCAGCCGTTTCACATCGTTGCTGCTCCAGGTAGGCGAGAAACTGATCAAAGTTCTTGTATTCTGGCTTGGATTGGGCGAGTTTCGAGCTGGAGGCCACCGCTTCATCGCCGCTACTACCGCTGGCAGCCTCCTCTGGTTCCGCACTTTTCTTTTCCTTTTTAGGCGCTTTTTTGGAAGCGCCTGCTGTACCCGTCTTGGTGCGTTTCATTGTGTAAATTGAGGCAAGTCGACGAACTAAATTTAATCCAACAGTATATCTGTTTGGTTTATTGAAAATTTTGCGCCAATATGACGAAATAAACATCACGACTGTACTCGCTCCATCAGCTGTTCAATTTAATCGCTATGCAGCACTGTCGCAACGGTTTTTATTTTGATTAAATATAAGTATATAAATTTATTAAAATATCATCATAAGCTTATCATTAATACGATACTGAACAGATATTAGCTTGAGGAATGGGAACTAAGGAGCAACAGACACAAAATACAAACATGCACTGGATCTACCACAATTTGTCACTGAACACAATCTCCTTGAATATGCAGTCCTGCTTGGCAATGCTCACCATTGACTTCTTGGACTTCATGGCGTCCTGGACCTTTTCGCGAACCTCAGCCGCTTTCACGTCGTTGCGTATGTAGAAGAGCCGGACGAGATGGTCTTCTGTGAGGGACGGATAGCTGCCCAGCAGGGTGTGAAGATCGAGGACCAGCAACTCAATGTCCGAGATGAGCAGCCCCGAAAGCGTGGTGATGAGATCAAGCGGCGAGTCACTGAGCGAAATCTTTGGGGCAATCTTCTCGAAGAAGAGCTTGAAGCGCTTGGCCTCCTGCTTGATCTTCCGGGTGATGGCGTCGCACTCGACGCGTGGCTTTGATAGCCGTTTGGAAAGCAAGGCGCGGATGTAGCGCTTGGCCAGCAACTTTTGGGCCTCGTTGATCACCATCTCAAAGTTGTTGGGCCGCAGGTGGTTGTAGTCCTGGAAGTAGTCGTCCAGGGTCACGCAAATGGTGTCCACAGACATGCTGCTGGCCAGCCACTTGACGGTGAACAGGTCGTGGAAGTGGCACTCCATGTCGAGGAAGGCCTCCTCCAGCAGATAGCTGGCGGCGTGAGCTCGAATGCGCTGGAAGGTGGCCAGCAGGCGCTCAAAGTCCTCGTAGTGCTCCGTGCGTGACTTGGGCCAGTAAAGCTGCTTCATCTGCTGCGCCAGCTCCACCATCTGCTGGCTATTGTTCACAATGGTGATGATGTAGTGCGTGAAGTACTTAATCTGATCCCGGTTGCGGAAGTGGTGCTCCTTCAGCTCGATGACGTTCTTCAGGTAGGTTTGGCCGAAGATCTCCACTTGCTGTATGCTCATTACGAGCGCCTTGAACGTCAGCTCTTGGTGTATTGTGTTGGTAACCTGCAGATGCTGGTCGATCATCTGGAAGATGATCACCGGCGCCGAGGTGTGGTAGTAGTGCTCGTCCTGGTCCGGCACCGTCTCGGAGAACCACTCTACCTTCTCCGTCTCGGCTGCCTTGGTCATCCACTCCTGGTAATTTCGCTGCATATTCTGCAGATACTCATCCTCCAGCGCCTTCAGATGCTCGGGCCGCAGCAGCGTTCCAATCAACTTGTGCACATCCACATTGAGGTCCGGATGCGACATGAGTTCAGCCCCCGGATATGTGTGGGTCACCCAAGCCAGCATGGAGACGTACTCGTTGCCCTCAAGACCTGATCGCACAATGGTGTCCAGCTGAAATTAAATTAAATTAGATCCAGCGACAAGTACAAGTGGATCCACATTCGATTACTCACATAGCTGGAGAGGCCTTCGTGGTAGAACTTGACGTACTCGTTGAATATATCGTAGTGGGGTGGAAAGCAGGGCACGCACAGCGACTTTACCACGCGCAAGTCCTCCAGGATGATCTGTCGCAGAATCTCCAAGTCGCGCACCAGCCACATCTTGTTGTCGGTGCGCTCCTCAAGCTTGGAGCCCTCGATGCGCGTTGCGACGGACGACTGCAGCACGTCCAAGATCATCTTGCGCCACGCCTTTGGGCGACCGGGCGGCAAGAAGCCCGTCACCTTCTGCTGCTGCAAGGCAAACTGATCGTTCTTCTCCTCCCGCTCAATGATGCGGAGGGCGGTCACGATGACGGTTGGCTTCTTGCGCACTGTATTCAGGGTGCGGCTGAGGATCAGGCGCAGCTTCTTCTCCAGCGCATGCGACACTGTGTCCACCTTCTCGAAGTGGCGTTTCAGTGTGATCTTGTCGGAGGCGTGCTGCTTCGGCTGCTTGTGCAGCTCGTACAGCAGATCGTCGCGGGAGTTCTCCAGATCGGCCAGGCACTGGTGGGCATTCAGCAGCTTGTCTTCGTCGATGAGCCCCATGGTCTTTTGCACACTGGCGTCCACATTGAAGATGTGCTTTAGGTTCTCCATGGCCGTGGCATACTGCGAGTGTTTGGTGTTCTCCTCACGCACCACCTCCAAGGCATCGTACACCTCGGGTACGCCCTGCAGCAGATTCTCCACCTCATCCATTCGCCGGCGGACCTCGCGCACATCTTGCATGCACGTTTCCAGCTGCTTTAGCCCCACCCGGACGCCGTCCAGCTGGTTTTGCATTCCTGTCTTCAGCAACGCCTCCACGGAGGCCTTTTTGCGGGCGATCCGGTGGCGGTATTGCTCCACTTTCTCCAGCTGCCCCGGACGCTGCAGCATGTTCTGTATGTCCTTGAGCGCAGCCTGCCGCGCTTCATCCTCCAGTTGCTGCAAATCCATTTTTTCCTGAATGTTTTGCTTGTTTTTTTCCCAAAAGAGAATAATAAATTCCAATCAGAATAGCGAATATACAGAATACCAAAAATACCAGAGTATCGATAGTAATTCTCGATGGTTAATGTCATCGGACAACAAATTTCTTTGTTTACTTTCTTGCAGCCGCAAATTTGAACAGAAACGCCCACAAAATGAGCTCAGGCAGCGAAGATATTCTACAATTTGCTCCCTGGGAGTCGTTTGTGTCGCCCACATTCTGGCACAAGCTGGCGGAACTTAAGTTGGACTACGATCGCTTGTCGGATGCCCAACGTTCAATTTCTGGCCATTACACAAACCGAAAGGCCACGGGATGTCTCCTGGAGGCGGATTACACATCGTTCAATAGGTAGGACTTCTAGCCACTAATGACTCATCCATATTCAAACACGTCGTCTGCATCTTCAATAGTGCCGGGCAGCCACCAAAGTTCTGCCATGCCGCCGTTGGAACAATCTACAATAAAAACACAATTGAAGAGTTCAAGGCCCTGGACAAGCTGACGCTGCTGTCGGATGAGGGCAAGAAACTGTTGTACGATATGTGCAGCGACCGTGTGGCAGCGGATGCCAGTCTGCTGACCCGCTTCTTTGTTCTGTCCTTTGCGGACCTCAAGTGCCACAGCTATTACTACTGGTTCGCCTTCCCATGTCCCCTGACGCCCACACTCAAGCTGCAGGGAGCCGTGACGAGACTAAGCGATCTGCCGAATGGCAGCAATTATGTAGAAGCCCTACAGTCGCTAGCACCTGAATCGCAGAACTTTTTCATACTGTATGCCAACGGGCAGCAGAATGAAGCCGTCGAGGCTCGCAGCTTGAGTTCCCTGGATGAGAATGAGGTGGAACACTATTACTTTGGCTTTGCCGATCCCAGCGAGTACGAGCACCCGGCTTGGCTGATGCGGAACTATGCTGCCTATCTGCTGCAACGATTGTGAGTGTCAATGTCTCTTAATTGCTAATTCTACATTTAATTTGTTTGCTCTCTCGTGTCTTAGTCCATGTTTTGTTGGTAGGACGCTCAGGTTTCTGGGCCTGCGATACAATCAAAAAATGCAGATGGACGACAGTCTGATATGGAATGTAGTTCAAAGCGAGGCCTGCGACTTGACTAAAACCGAAGATATACAATTTGTTGGCTGGGAGCTGAACAAAAATGGGAAAATGGGCCCGCGAATGGTGTGCATGAGGGACAGCATGGATCCGGCAAAGTAAGCTGCCAACTTTAAGATTTACGCTATATATTCAACTTTCAATTACAGGCTGGCCGAGAACTCTATTAACCTCAACTTGAAACTAATGAAGTGGCGCCTGGTGCCAGATATAAATCTGGAGATTATTTCGCAAACCAAATGCCTGCTCTTTGGCGCGGGAACCTTGGGCTGTGCAGTGGCTCGCAATCTTCTGGTAGATATTCTGCGACCCCCCTCAAACCGAGCCATTTACTATTGTTTGTTAATTGTAGTCTTGGGGCTTTAAACGCATTACTCTGATGGACAGCGGAAAGGTTGGATTCTCCAATCCAGTACGTCAGAACCTCTATACGCATGCAGACGCGGTGGCGGGCAATCGGATGAAGGCCACAACAGCCGCCCAAAGACTGCGCGACATAAATCCTTCTGCCGAGACCGTGGGGCATGTGCTGGAGATACCCATGCCGGGCCACACCATCGGGGAGTCGCTGCGGGCACAGACTGAGCAGAACTTGCAGCTGATTGAGCAGCAAGTGCAGGCGCATGATGTCATTTTTCTGCTCACCGATTCGCGTGAGAGCCGCTGGCTACCCACACTGCTCGGAGCGGCGTATCAAAAGGTCCAAAACGAGTGAACTTCGCCCACACAAAGTACGAATAGCTTTACGTTCTGACCCTTTTCAGATTGTCATCAATGCGGCGCTGGGATTCGACAGCTATTTGGTGATGCGACATGGCAGCACCCGCGACATGGCCGGCGACAGTGGGCTGGAAATCGAGGGGCTAAAGTGCATCAATGGCAATCAACTGGGATGCTACTTCTGCAACGATGTCACGGCGCCCGGCAATGTAAGTGGACTGAGACGGTTAACGTTTAGCACATATATTTTCAGACTTCGTTCAATGGTCAGACCATGCAATCAATGGATTCCGCTCTAGACACATTCGTAGTCGTGGCGCGAGTACTTCTCGAAAGCGGTGCACGTGGGATCACCCGTCTGCAGATGGTCCACGCCAGTGATCTGCATAACCAGGCCCTTTATGCAGGTCACTTTGAAGCCCACCAAGTTCATCATGGCGTTGGGCGTGCGCCAGGCATAGCTGAAGAAGTTGTATCCATCCACAGCCGTGAGAACTTCGCGCTCCGTAAAGGCCAGTGCCAGCTTGAACTGCTGATTGAATGTGAACGGAAAACCACCATGGCGCTCTTCGTTGCCGAATCTGGAATTGTTGTTCGAGTTGTTAGAATCTTGCCACAAACGAAGTCGATTGCTCTGCCGACTTACTCAAAGTTCTTGCCCATGGAGTTTCGAATTACCAGCTTCTCGTCGAAGCGAATGCTAAAGTGCAGCTCCTCCCGCTTGGTGTCCGAATCCATGAACTTAATGATGAACTGGCCCCGCTTGTTCTCGAAGCAGCGCGCTGTTATGACAATAACATGGCCCGGACTGAAGAGTATGGGCTGATCGTTGCTGAAGGCCTTGAAGTAGTCCGAGGCGTGTATGGCGGGCCACGGATTGGGGAAGACGGTGCGATGATCCACCTGCTTGATCACCTGGATCTGGTCGCGTATCTCCAGAGTCCGAAGCGCACTCAGCGGCATGCGGTAGCGGAACTTACAGAACTCCCGACTGTTGATCGAAATGTGAAAGCTGTCTTCGCAGGCCAATATGTAGACCATAAAGAACTCGCCGCTCACAATGGGATTGGGCAGCGTTACGTTGTCCATGACGGCCGACTCCTCCTCGCCCCATACGCCGTTCACGCGGGCATTGCGCACGATCATGTCGTTGCGAAAGTAGCAGGAAAAGTGCAGACCAATGTCAGCATCCGGATCCACGGTGCTCTTGGCTGTGGAGAGGTCTATGTGAAACCTGGCGGGGGAGAACCACAACAATTTGGAGAATTAGTCATATCAGCGGAGAACGATAAGGAACACTGCTCTACATTCCATTAGTCATGTACTGAGAAGATACACATTTGCGTGTCCCTCTACAGCAATGCTGATGCAGAGCGGAGCCCACCTGGCGGCTCCATCGATGGTCTTGGCAACGATCTCCAGCACATGGCCAAACTCCAGCGGATGCGAAAGGTTTCCAGCGAATTCTGTTAGCATTATTTACAATGTTTAAAATTAGAGGTGTCCGCGAATGGGTGGATCTAACTTCACTGGCTCTCAACTGGCACTATAGCGCCCCGAACAAATGAAAACAATATCAGAAGGTTTCTTTAGGAGAGCGTGTCCAATGGAGAGCCGAAACTTTATCTAATCAGTGGCAAACTCGCTCGGGCTCGGGCCCGTTCCCGGTGGGAAAAACAGTTGCACAAGCAGCACAAGCCCCACTGGGCAGGGCGTTCTCTGACTGACTTTGTTTTAAATGTACGAGAATTGTTATTAACTAATCAAACAGAAAAATTGCGCTCTCGCACGCTCAGGTGTCTTACCGTACCGAAAGGGGTCGGCATGCGGCGGGCGGCGGCGTCATCTTTGGTCGCTGGTCCCAAGTTTTCGGCTGCGTTTGTTGACATTGTAAAAGCTCTGTTCAAAGCTTGTTCATGCAGCGTTGTGTTGAGTGGAAGCTTTTATCTCTCTATGTCTGTCTCTTTCCAGTCGCTCAAAGATCGTACTCTGGATCAACAGTGCACCGTGACACGACCCGGCGTCTCCAACATTGCTGCCAGCTATGCTGTGGAGCTGCTGGTAGCCCTGCTGCAGCATCCACAGCGGGAGCTAGCTCCTGCCTACTACACTCAAACCGGAAGGCAGCAGACGGTACAGAGTGCGGATGCCGGCAAGGTTCCCGAAGGACTACTGGGTATCCTGCCGCACTCCGTGAGAGGAATGCTATGCAACTATGAGAACATCCTGCCAGCCACGCAAAAGTTTGCCCAATGCATTGCCTGCTCAGCGGTAAGATCCAACAGCTAGAGAGTCAATCGAATCAATCCAACGAAAAAGTGTTCCATTTCTCCTTTTTACAGCCAGTTCTAAGTGCCTTTAGGAACGAAGGACATGTGTTTCTTTTTAGAACTTTTGAAACCGCCAAATATCTAGAGGATTTGACGGGCATCTCGGAGTTCAAGCGCCTGAACAGTGAGGTTTGTGACTTTATTGGTCGAGTGTACAAATTACTGCAAATATCCATTTTTATAGATAATCGACTTTGATGATGCCGAGTTTGATATGTCCGAAGATGATGAGGATTAGTAGTAGAGAGAATCCCTCCCTCCAATTTGAATTTATAGTAATTTCTTTTACCAAGCATTTATACGCGTTGTGTTGTGTCCAATTTCTAAACCAAAATGTATGCTTTATCTAGTTGTTAAGTAAACTATAAACGCAATATCTTTACATCATTTCAAACGATAAAATACAATTGAATGTGGAAACAGAACATGCATAAATATGTAAATATATCCCTTGACGCTGCCTGTGCCCGTCGCTGTTTGCACAAATATGTTGTTCTGCTGATAAGAGCTGATCTGTGGACAGCGGACAGCTGGCAGCTGGCAGCAGGCGGGAAAGATGAAAAATCCCCATGTCACGGTTCACAAATAACAACATATTGTTTACACACTCCGATAATGACGAGTGTGTGTTCAATGGAATCATTATTAGATGCATCATTCGAGACGCAAAAAAACCACTCAACCCAAAGAAGATTCATTTGCGAATTAAATCTTTCTAAGAATATTTATGCTAATTATGGCTCTTACAGATGCGCGAAAGAATAAAAGTTCGAAGGTCAATAAACTGGAGAATGGTGGGATAGAAAGCCACGAGCCAAAGCCACTACCACCGCTGGTCTATGCTAATCAGACTTTCGTTTGAGGGGTTACATTTTTTGAGTACAATCGTAGAGTTTGAGTCGCAATCATGCTAACGATATATTCTTATGGAATCTACTCGAATTAATCATGTATGTCACTCAGTGCTTTAAATAGAGTCGGGCCAAATGTGTCGAGATAAACAAACATTGCCAGTCAGCCGACACTTGACAGCCCGAGTCCGTAAATATTTCAAAATTCATTATTTGACCCCAGGCAGGCAGGCTGCTGTCTGATGAAACCCTAACCCGAGAATGGCCGCAAAAGGCTCTCCCTCTCTCTATCTCTCTCTGTCGCTTCGAAAGCAACATCAAGCCGAAAAGAAGAATAGTTGGGCGAGTGAAATGCGCAGAGATATCTGCGTCGGCAGCATACATTTTTGGTACCAACTGAGCAAACAACTTAAAGACCCTGATGCGAGGCTGGCGTTTTCACTCGCGGCCCCGAAAAGCGCTCAAAATGCCGTTCGAGCCGCTGGCGTTGCGCCGGCGTCGTCGCTGCGGCCAACGAAATGTCGCTCGAATTGCGTTTTGAGTGAAAATGATGTTTTGCAGGCCGTCATTTCCATAAATTGGTGAAAGATATCCAAAACTGGCACACAAACCCATCAGGCGCGAATCCAAGTGGTACCCAACACCAGTTGAAAACTGAAAAGTGCAATCCCGATCCTTATTCCCATTACTCGGCTATTCAAAGTGTTTCAAAATTATACAAAGTTGTGTAAACCAAGCCCTGTGATAGGACATAAATATATCATCAAAATGGTAAGTCCTAACACCCAATCACTTTCCCTATGTTGTCAGATGCTGACGGCAGTTTGTTGAACTTGAAAATTGGCTCCTAGCTCCGGCAGTTTCGAAGCAATTTCGAAGCAATTTCCCATTCAGTTTGTTAGACCTTGTGTTGACGTAGTTGGTTTCGTAGTTTCTGCTTTGTTTTGGCACTGGTCCGGCTTCAACCTGTTGCGAAAGTCGGACGCCAAGCTGGCATTGCAAAATGTGTTATTTTTTTTTTTTTTCAATTTCACCCAAAAATGTGTGTCCATTATGATGATGTGGCACTCGAGCCAGGGGGCACTGTCCATAAAACATTTATTAACTCACACTTCAAGTTCAGTTGATGACATTGTTGCACAAACGAAGAGTTTCAGCTGCTCCAAGCATACGTCAATTATAAAGAAACTTCAAAAATATAATTTGCCTTTGTTTATGAAGCTGGGCGGGGAATTGTTTTTGTGGAGAAAGTAACGTCAGTTAGTCATGAAAGAACTTCCTGAATCACAAAAGCATTTCTGGTGATTTGTCAGTTAGTTTTAATGGGGTTTCTGCTAACCAAATGAGTTGCAATTAAAGGAAATGTGCGTCCAACCTGAAAGTATGCAATGATTTGCGAGGATCTCAATTTTAATCATTTTGAATCATGATTAATAATGAACTCTCAAACTTTGAGCTGATTTACGGTGAAAGTTGTCTGTTTGCCAGACGAATTAGAAATCCCAGAGATTCTCGCTACCTGAAAAAACCCAGACGATAAGAAATTCTAGAAAAATATATGGTTATTACCCGTAGGATCAACCGAAAAACACGTAAAAAATACCGCTCGATTTTCGTCCATGCGTCAGCAAATAGATCGGTCCGAGCAAATCCGAGGCCGGCTATCAATGAATGGTCATCTTTGGAATAGCCAATGAATGCGAAGAGATAACAATAAAATTTGTTTTTTATTTGCTAAGCGGCATTAACCTCTGCTCCAGAATTTTCGGCTCACCATCTGTTGGGCTCTGTTGGCTCCTGGCAACATTCGAGCCGAGCTGAGCCTCCGATTTAAGTTGTACGAGTATATAAGTATTGATTATATATAGTATATAGATGGGGGGATCGCATCGGATCGGATCGTACATAGGCAAATCTCGCAATTGATAATGCCTGGGCGATAATCGTGAGTTGTGTGTCGTTATTGTTATTGTTTTTTGTTCGTTTGAGATCTACGTACGAAGGCAAGGCAGCACAGATTACATAGCGGCAGGAGATGGACAGTACAAATCTCCAGAAATTGTGGTGTCAGCGGTATCATCAGCGAGCACAATCATTCAGTTTAAATTGTGATCTGAGGTAGAGCGTGTGGGATCTTTTGAATCTACTCATCGAGCGGTTAATTGAAATACTTACAAAATACTTAAGCAGCGTTTAGCAATCAGAGCTATCAGCGATAATCTCAGCGCGTTCGATCCATTGCAGCGTAATTCATTTAAATCAATCACAAAAAGTTAGTTAGACGGTAGTTTTCCATGCCCTTCAACATGCGGGACTGATGCATTTCTCTTCCCATTTCCCATTTGCTTCTTATCACAGGTCAATCAGAGCAAATCGAAAATGGCCCTGTCCAAGATCGATGCGGAGATCGAGCAGGTCGATCAGGAGAAGTATCTGCGCCAGGCCACACACTACTATCAGGCCCTGGAAAAGCCCCTCAAGTATGGGCCCGTCATTGAGACGATGGACCAGCTGATCAAGGCACTGCACCGCGAGTTCGAGTCGAACTACGTGAACATCGAGATGGTCAATCACCTGATGCTCTCCTACAAGTCGAATCCCAAGGAGTGGCGCAAGTATGCCAAGTTCGATCGTTACACCTACACCCGCAATCTCGTGGATGCCGGAAACGGCAAGTTCAATCTGCTGATCCTATGCTGGGGCGAGGGTCACGGCTCCTCTGTGCACGACCACGCTGACTCCCACTGCTTCATGAAAATGCTGAAAGGGGATCTGCGCGAGAAGCGCTACGAGTACCCCAATCGCCCCAACAACACGGTCAGCCGAGACAGCAGCCATCATCATAGCCACGAAGGGGATATCGACCCTCGGGAGCTGGTGGAGATCGGCGAGACGCCGATTGCCGTCAACGATGTGGCCTACATTAATGGTGGGTACCAGATGAGATGATCAATCAGACAATCATCAGACTTTACTTATTGCTTGATTTATCCACAGATAACTTGGGCCTGCATCGTGTGGAGAATCCGAGTCATTCGGACACCTCCGTTTCCCTGCACCTCTACTGTCCACCCTTCGACTCGTGCTCAGTGTTCCAGGACAACTGCAAAAAGACCACCGCCAAGGTCACGTTTTGGAGCAAGTACGGCGTCCGGACAAAACCGAATGAGCAATAGATCACCTCAAATCTAATTGCGCACCCGCATCCGCATCCAAATACAGTTTTATATTGTTGTATATTGCTAAGAATCTTTATTATTAGATGTTTAGTGTGTGAGGGCCTTCCTAATGGTCAGAGAGCAAGAGAGAGAGAGAGAGAGAGAGAGAGATCTGGAACATTGATCTAGGCCACGTAAGCCAGCACTCACTGGAGAGAGCGCTCTCTTTCATGCAGGAACTTAGGGCTTTCACTCTTTGCGAAGAGTGTTTCCTTGATGTACATATCTTTAGTGTAAGCTATACCAAATATTCAATACATAAGTGTCTTATTGACCATTCTTTGATGCCGTTTTAATCTATAATTTTGTGCAGTGTAAGCCAAAGGAGTTTACTAAGCGTCCTGGCTCCGGGCAGTATAACTCGGTTTCTTTGGCGGGCCACGGTCCAGGGTCTGACGAATCGACTTAAGAAGTCCCGGCAACAGGCCGATGTACTTGTCCACACAGTTCCCGGTACAGTTCTCAAAGAGATGCTGCGATCGGGTCATGTCTTTGTCATTGGGATTATTCGGCAATCGCGCGCGAGCTTCGCTGTTGCAATCCTACGGATTAGCAGTGCTGTTACTCATCATTGGAGTGTGAGAAAGCATTCTTATACCTTCACACAGTTCTGCAAACGGTTCTGGAACTGACCGAGCTCATGCTGCAGATAATCCTGGGCATCCATCAAGGGTCCGGCGCACTTCTCTATGCAGTTCTGGACGCTCTCCAGCGATCCGCGTTCGTCGTCGCAGCAACGGGCAGCACACCGATGCATTTTGGACTTGAATATTCAGATTTCTCAGTGGGTTTGCTGCTCATATTCAGGCTGCACTCACCTGCATGCGGCGCAAGTGGGTGCGGTACATGTCCTCGATCATGTCGCTAAGGGCTATCTCCAGGCGCTTCTTCTGCTGTTCCACCATTATGGCAATCGAAAATTTTACAATTTTGAATTATATACAGAAATACAGGATCAAATTTTTGAATGTATTGAGTTTATCTAACAGGATTTGATGTATTTTTCTTAGAGCGATCGAAATAGGTAACATAAATTTTGTCTATGAAAGTGTACTAAAGTGATCCCACAGTGTAGCTTTTGTACATAATAATATCCAGAAAATATATGTAAAATAAAAAACTCAACAACTAAGAGAAAATGTGATAAATGCAACCAGCTCAAAGCGAATTAAACTTGTGGTATGGCCTCAGGTCCTTTGGATAGTACTTTCTTCATCGTTTTCATCATGCTGGGTATGAGACCCACATGCTTGTCCACACATTGGATGGCACAACGTTCGAATTGATCCGTGTACTTGGCGATTTGATCCTCGCTGGGACTGGGCGGCATTTTAACTTTGACATCATCGTTGCATTGCTGTCAAAAGAGAATAAAGTAAGTGTGTGGTTGATTTTAGAAGGCTCATTGGAACTTACCATGACGCAACGCTGCAGCCTGCCCTGAAATTCTCCAAGCTCGTGCTGCACATAGTTCTGGGCCCGTGTCATGGGTGTCGAGCAGCGGTCCACACACCGCTGCACACTGTCCACGCTGGATGTGTCGTCCTGGCAGCATTTCGCAGCGCACAGGTGCATTTCGTTCTGTTGGAGGGGGGCACAATGTCGTTACAATGCCGTCTGTTTTCACTGTGGCAGCACTCATACCTGCATTTTGCGTAGGTGTGTCTTGTCCATGTCGTCGATCATCTCCGTCACGGCGGACTCAATGCGTTGGCGCTGCTGCTGGATCATCTTTTGAGTTATTTAATTAATTCTAACAATTGATTTCGTAATAAATAGTAAAATGCCGGCGCCACTGACAGCGTGTTTTGTAATTTTAGAGATGGCCGTTCCGATTAGAGGTGACCAATCGATACCAAGCATATCGGCCGGTCAGCTGTTCTCTTCTTGCTCCAGTTTTTGATTGCGTTTTTTCTGAAAATAATAATAATCAATTAAAACGATGTCTGTGCTGCACAAAATATGCCGAGGCGCGCTGCAGACAAACTCCTTCGTCTCCAGGCGCCAGCTGTCGGTGGCCACACGTGCCTTCAGCAATGAACCCACCCAATCTGGCCATGCGTCCTCTGAAGATCAGCCAGAAAGCAGCAGCAAAGGTGGCTTCGCCCGTGCCTATGACAAGTACACGGCTCCCGCAACGCCAGAGCAGCCGCAGGTGGACAATCAAACCTTTGCCTCACTGCTGCGCAACTCAAAGTTCGTAGATGTAAGTAGACTCCAGGCATCCGCCGGCTCATTGTTTATGTAACAACCTCTCAATTTAACAGCTGGGTAGTGCCGAAGGCAAGGTGGTTAGCGGCAAGATCTTTCACGTGGTGGAGGATGATCTGTACATAGATTTCGGCTGGAAGTTCCACTGTGTATGCTCACGGCCCGCTCGGAATGGCAGGTTAGTGCAGCGGTCTCCCAACTTATTTTTTTGACTATGATAAATCTGAATCCACATATTTTTGCAGTGACTACGTTCGTGGCGCCCGCGTCCGCTTGCGTGTCAAGGATCTAGAGCTGTCCACTAAATTCCTAGGCTCATCTAAGGATATAACCATCCTGGAAGCAGACTGCCAGCTGCTGGGTCTGATATCCACTCCCACCAGACAGGGAGCAGCCAGATCAGCGCCCAAAATGGATAATATTCTATAGAATTTATTCTAAAACATGTAGAGTGCATTAAACAAAGTTTTTGTTAAGTTAAACTCCCGTCTGTGGTGAACTGGAAAACCTCATAGTGGTGGTTGAGCTCCTTGACCGCGTGCAGCTGGAACCGCGTGACCAGGGCGCCGTTGTCCGATGGCCGCAGGAAGAATATGCGCTTGGCCCGGCTATGCACCAATGCCATGGAGCACATAAGGCAGGGCTCCTGCAGCAGATACACATCGTAGCCGGTGCAGAGGTACGGTCCGTACTTGGACAGATTATCGCCACCTTGTCCGTGCTTTGAATCCAACATCACTTGCTGCTGTGGCTGACCCTTTCTAGACATCTCTGCTCCGAATTGCAGGTCCTGATACGCCTCGTTCTCTTTCAAGTAGTCGTAGTATGCCTTGGGCAGCCCGCGTAACGTTGTTTCGGCATTCTCTTGGTCCTCGACAAAGCTGAGCTCGCTCCTCAATGCACCTCCCTGCTGACTGCGCGCCACAAAATCCACCAGCAGCATGCTGCAATGTTCATGTCCGTAGGTTTCGCTGGCACCAGCTATGGACACAATGCGGGTTTGTCGCGGATCCACACAGATGCCTACTGGCCTGTCCTTATTCACATCCCTAGATAGTTGGACCAGCAGTTGAGCCATGCGCTTGTGGAAGACTCGCTGGCTGATGGAGAAGTTGCTGCCATTCCGCAGCGACTCGGAGTAGTGATTCGGATGGAATTTGCAGGGCCAGTGCTGCATCATTTGTTCGTATTGCACGCGCAGCTTGGGCATGCGGGCGGGAACCTCAACGACCTTCACCTGATGGCAGAGTGCCTGTAGTACATTTGCGGAGAAGGCGTACCGCTTCAGATGTTCCTCCAAGGTCTCTGCATCTCCAATCTCCGACGTTGCGCAGATTAGCACATTGCGGTCGTGGACGCGCTTCAAGTGTTGAAGGCGGGGCAACTTCTGCGACAGTTCCTGGATGACGGACTGCAGTTGCTTTTTCGTCTCCAGCTGGCAACTGTGCACCTTGATGAGGGCTATCTCATTGTATTCATCGGACAGAACGGCTCGGATACCCATGCAATCCTCCTCGTTGTCGGTGGGGCTTTTCCTGTTGCGCTTAACTGGTGGTGGGGAACCACATGTGTCCATTGTTTATAAAATTTGTTGCTCTAGCCAATGGACATTTTTGGCTAGTTGAACCTGTCCATTAGAACATGATCAATACCAGCACGAGTGGAGGAGGGAACCTCTGTTTTTAAATGGTTTGAATACAAATAAAACAAAAAAAAACTTTCAGTTTTTATTTAACGCTGGGTAAAAAAGTATAGGTTTTTACATGGTAACTACACGGGAACTGCACATTTGCTACATATTAACTACATATTAATGAATGAAATGTATTGAAAAGTGCAAGGTGTGTGACCTAAACAAGGTCGTCGTAAAAATGATTACACTAAACAGCTGCTTAGCAGCGGTTGCGATAAGGATTCTAACGCTATTTTCTTAAATCTTTCTTATGTACTCATTAGCCATCTTTTCATCGGTCAGCCCAGCTTGGAAGACACACATTCCAATGTGTGCCTTATTCAAGGAATATTGCTTGTACTATATTGCTTGCAGTCCGATAATGTTCAAAAAATGTATTATTAAGCTATGACAGTTTGACTGCTGAAATTTTTTTGAACACCAAACTGATTGTATTAATTTCACATACTTGATCAAATTCCCATTTGTTGTTTCAATTTCTCTTGAGAAGGTCCTCTATGAATGTAAAATTATTTAGCTTTTAAAACATGTGGAATAATACGGAAATAATTACAACAATAATTTTAGAGCTATTTAAATAATAAAATGCTATAATAATAATAATAAGGCTGTAATACTTAAGTTACATACATTTGTGGAAACAAAGCGCTACCTCTAAAAAATTACTACCAAAACAATACCAGTTTTTAAAAAATTCCTTAAAAAAAGTTCTGTTATAGACAAAAAAAAATATCGTTAGACCATTTCTGGGAAAAAGTTGGATAGTGTAAAAGATTAGGAGAGTGCAAGAGAGTGAGCGTGAAAAAAACGAAAATATTTCGATCCAAAAACTGTTTCAATTAGTATTTTGGTGCAATTTCGTTCTGTACAATCTGTACGGAAATATTTTGCTGACATGTGTACATAATTATGTAGATGGGCATTAAGGAATGTTTAATTTCTTGTGGGCCAATAATGTGGAAAACATTCAATTTCAATACTTTTAACACCAAACTGATTGTTTATGTCCATATATGTATGTGCATATGAATGTGTAAATCTTTTATTTACTCTTGAAAAGATCCTTAACGAATGTAAAAATAGTATTGGTATCATATTTTAGTTTCCTATCAAAGTAACACCGAATCGACAGCATATAATCCCCAGTCGGAACGGGCAGGCGCAACAGTTAAAGATAGAAACCGGATAGAAATCCTTGAGATTTTTGGACCCTGAAAATGAAATTTGAAAACTCTTTTGATAAAGGATTTATTCGAGTATTTTACCACATACGGTCATGTATGGTTCATGTTGCTAAAGTCTCTAAATAGTCTATAGACAATATTAGGAAAGGGATGATTTCTCTTTCGCAAATACAAACAGACATCAAGTGGAACGTCGAACAGCCAGGGCTTGTAGCCATTTACCCTTTTCAACATTTTGACAAGAAGGGATATATATTTGGCCGGATGTAGCACCGTTCCATTGAAATTTCCGACAACTTTGCTTCGACTGACAGCCTTTAAACGACAATTGTGGAACACGAACCAGGAGTGGTTGTAACTTTCACATACGGCGTTCGTAACTTTGAAGACGACGGCATCCTGATAACTTGGATTCCATTATTGTCCTCTCGACTGGTTTATTTGTTTTGCATATTTACGTGAACATTGATGGTGGATGCTAGAAATAAGCCGATAGCGGCACGGATGGTCAGCAGTATCCGCATCCTTCCTGACTTTGAAGGTAAACTAAAATTGCAAAGAGTCCAACGTGTTGGGTATATTGTGTTTGTGCACAAAGTGATTGTATGTAACACACAGAAGGAAACGTTATCGACCCCATAAAGTATATATGTTTTTGATCAGCATCAATAGCCGAGTCGATTGAGCCAAGTCTGTCTGTCCGTCCGTCTGTCAGTCTGTCCGTCGTTATGAGCGCCTGGATCTCAGAGACTATAAGAGCTAGAGCCACCAAATTTTGGCTGCGGACTGCTGTATGCTCACACTGTTACAAGTGTATTTCAAAAATGAGCCCCGCCCCCTTCCGCCTCCGCAAAAGGGCGAAAACCTCCCAAATCTACAATTTTGAAGATAAAAGAAAACTAAAAGAAAACGCCATTCCGTAGGGAATGACCATATATATCAGATCACCAAATTGGGATCCGATTGTATCATTATTATGGCCACAATGAAGATATTCATTTGCAGTGGCTAAACCCACCCCGTCCCGCAGCTTATATATGCTTTTTTGCACATTCTCTCATTCGCACTCTGCTTCGTGTAGTCAGCGGTCTCTGCCTCTGCAGTGGCTCAGCAGACTGTGTCTCTAGGGGAGGGGGCAAGCTAAAGGAGCGTGTTGGCGTGAGAAGTGATGTAGATGTGGATGTACATGTTGATGAAAGAAGTAGAAAAAATCTAAAATTTGAAAAAAAAAAAAAAAGGTTAAGGTACAGATTTTCTACTGAGTACCGGTTATAAAAGTTGTGACACGTAAGAGGCGACTCACACGTCCCTTCTCGTAATTTTTATTAAGCGCTGAATCCGTGCATTCAAACTAGTACCTTAACAACCCAATTAAGACATTGCAAAAAGACCAAATCCCACGGAAACGAGTATTTATCTAGTGTTAAAAGTTTTGGTAAGTACCAATCTTTTTCAGCGCCTCAGAGGTCGTTCAGATAATAGACGCCCTTGCCAGCAGACGGCGGCTACAAACAGGCCAGCTTAGAGAACCCTCAACCCCTTCCGCAATGTTAGAAGAAATTCTGATTTTTAACTGTTTCATCGATTAAAAATGCATCTTCTTAGAGCGCAGTTTGAACTTAAAAAAAATAACCAATACTAACCCTTGTCAGTGTTTGATCGTTTTGTGAAACAACAAAATTGTGCGTTTAGCTTACACTCAAACACAAGTGAAAATTTAAACTGTAATTTCTTGAAAAATGTGTTTTTTATCCTCATTCTTCTTTTTGCTGTCCCTGTACTTCGGATGCCTTATAATTGGGGTAACAGGGCTGATCATTGGTGTCGTGGCCCTTACCATTGGCATATGCAAGCTATTTCTCCAATCGAGACATGAGGTGGTTTGGATGATGGCCATTGTATTCGCGCTCTTGTACTTGGGGGCTAAGGTGATGCTGTTAACGGGCACGTTGTGGGTGAGCTTTAAAAATGTTCTACATTAGATTATCCTTTATTGGATTGGCCAACGATTACCCACAGCACCAGTGCTGGTGCCTTCTCGTGTCCTTCGCCTTCAGCGTGGTTTGCGTGTTCTTGCTCCTGGCCATACTGATTGTTGGGTTTGCGGGTAACACGAACCGTGTACAACTCATGTTATGGATTATCATGATTTTGCGTAAGTGGAAAGTTGGAAACTTTTTTGATAATAATTCCCTTCGCCCACAGTGGAGACATACTATTTGTGGGTAATCATCTCCCATTGGCACAACTGCTTTTCGGGCGTAGACCGGGTCGAGTTGTAAGCTCAGCTCCAATTAATTGTGACGAATAAATTCTTAAATCATAATCGTCGAAACATGTGAAAAGTAACTATAGAATTATACCATGCGTATCCAGTATTTGACACGCATGGTGAGTTGAGAGGGGTGAGCAAAATAAAACGCAAAAATGAGTACTGCCTAACACTGTTTGGCGCCCAAATAGATCTCACAAACAATTTTCGCCGCGAACAATGAAGGATGCAGCAGAGTGTCGGTTTTTCTGATATTTCCGTTGATTTGTTTTCCGACTCTTGAATAGCGTAGCGTGCCGGTGCAGTTTCCATATTGGGCAAAATGCATTCTTCAATCTTTGGGGCCACAGCCCGATGCTCCGCTGGTCCGGCCTGAAGTTGTGAAGTTACGTGCGTGCGTTCTGCCCGCGTGTGTGTGTTTGTATTTTGTTTTTCGTCAATTAGAAGTAACGGTTGCACGGGAGAAACTGGAAAATCAACGAAGCGCGCAAGCCACCAACCGCCCGCCGCCCGGCACCCACCCAACGCAGAGTGCACACACCGAGATACATTTGTATCTTTAATTTGTAAATTTTCGGTTTTCTTCGTTTCGTTTGTGTTTGTTTCTGTTCGTTCCGTTTCGCTGTTTCGCCGTTGCTTTGCGCAACAAGTGTGTGTGCCTCGCCCCGCCTCCCAGCAAGAAGCGAGGGCAAGACGAAGAATAATGATCAATTTAATTCAATCAGCGATCCCATCAACCTGCAGCGATCCCATACAATGCAAACCAAACAGATCCAATCCGATGCGATTCTCGTGTGTGGCAAATGTAGGAGAATCTAACGAATAAGTGGCTGGACTCGAGTTGAGCAAACAGCAAACAGAAAACAGCAAACAGAAAATACCAACAATATCAACGCGTTCGTTCCGTGAGCCGGTTTAGTCATCCGCGAGTTCCGAGAATCCCATTGGCAGGGCATGGTGGGGTACGAACTTGGCGAAAAACGTAACTTTTTGAGCAATACTTACTCCCGTCCAGAACAGCTGTCGCTGAGCTTTGAGCGCTGCTTACCTGTCTGCCACTTACCCTGAAGCTCCGAGTAGCCAGGTGATAAGATAGCTCCCCTGCGCTCCGTTTAGCTAGTCGAGCGAAATACCAACAGAACAAACGCGGCCAACAGCCAAGAAAATCGCAATCGTTTGCGTTGTGTTTAAAGTAAAACTCGCGGAATTATCTTATCGGCTGACCATTGATTGGGCTTTGCCTTTTCCGCTCCATTCCATACCGCGTTCCGAGCGAAGTGAAGTGAGGTGAAGTCATTTGCGCAGCCATATTAGACCCGCCTGAAGACTGTGGAGTGGGTTGCTTGACAAGGCCTTTAGTCAGCGCCAGTCTACATACAATATCTATATCCCATATCTACGGGAATATCTAATGCCAGTGCCAGTGCAAAGTGCTGCAAGGAGAAGCAACAGAAGCAGCCGACCAACAGAGAGAAAAACCATTCCCAGTGCCAGTGCTAGTGCCAGTTGCTCTGCAATCTTTGTCTAAATTTAGACAAAGCCAGAGCCAACCTAACCAAACGAAAGCAAACCAATCCAAACTGAAGTGAACTGAACTGAACAAGGCCTTCTGGCCATATACGATTGTAAATCAAGTATTTGGCCCCCTGAAGGAGGAGCAGAGCTGCACCGAAGAAAGCCAGACCAGACCAGACCAGACCAGAACAGACCATGGACATAGAATCGGATTCAGACACCTCTGAGAGATGGGAGGACTTTTTTGGTAAGCGGGAGGGATCACTGAACTTCTTTTGCGGATGGCCGATGACTCAACTGGGACCCAAGGAGTTGGGGAGGGGGTTTTCGGCAGCTCTACGCATTCCTGTAGCGCCTCGACGTCTTCTTTGCCCGAATATGGACATGCGTATAAGAAGACACCATCAAGAGCTTGGCTCCTTTGGTCATTGCTGGATGGGACAGCCACAGGCAGGGGCCATTGCATTTGGGTTCTGTTCTCGGGGTCTTCACGTTTCGTTCCCATAACTGTACACGATCCCATCCCAGCCCCCTAAGTGCGGGGAGACCATTGCGTGAATTGTGGCTCGCAGTTTTGCAGTTTTTTTGGAGTTTCGCTTTGGTTCGGTGTAACGGGTTCGCTTTGTTTCTGCATTTTCTGCTTTTCGACATTATTTAAGCGCTCGAAATGTCGGTTGTAATGAAATTTAATGATAATACATAATTTCAGGCTTTTGACCCAAATTACAATTGTGTTCAGGACGGGGAATGGGGCACTGGTTGGATTGGAGAAAATAAGGCCTTGTTTTGCTTTGCATGAGATTTGCAATTTATGCTCTTGGGTGGTGTGTGGCACCAAGCCCCGACTATAACAAACAGTTTGTTGACCCACTTTACATATTGTATGTATGAATATGTATGTGTACATATGTATGTGTATGTAAGTATGGGATTACTTTGATTTCCTTTTGATCTTGTGGTGGAGTGCTGTGGCACCAGTTTGATAAATCCATTGCATCCAAAATGAGGGCATGTTTTGTTAAGAGTAAAAGCAGAGAGTCTAGAAAACAGAATTAAAAATAAATAGTGAATGAATTGATGATTAAATCAATATTACAGCCAGTATATGTACAATTGACTGATAAATAGTGAGTATTCCCTATTCTGTAGGCCGTGAGACTTCGTGCCGCACAACTATGGAAGGGCAAATGCAAAGCTTTCGTTCAATTAGTGCATTAGTCATAAGTGTTCTACGATACGACTGTGTGTGTGAGTGTGTGTGTTTTTTCTTTATTATTGCACGTTTCGTTTGCCATGTTAGATAACAGCATGTATTCCAGAGTAACAGCGAAGATTGCATTGCTTTAACAGAGCCTTTCATGATTGATCGTGTGGGTTTACATTAATTATTATATATCATGTATGGCACAAATGAATCATTATTCGGATCGTACAGATCGTACAGCTTATAAATTGTCAGACTATCTTTTTAGCGCTTTAGTTACAGTTCTCCCAGATAATGAACACTTATGTAACGGGCCTGTTTTTATTTAAATAAATATTTAAACATTCTTCTGGTGCGCTGTCGAAAAGTCAAACGTGTTGACGCTCTCCTGCACTCCAGGAAGGGGTACGTTCGTCTCACTCCCGATCGATGCCTTACAAATAGTAGAACGAACCCGTTGCAAGACATTGCCAGCAGTTGACCGCATATGGTATCAAATGTCACCATGTCTCCGGGCCCCCTCTGTTTGTTTGCCTCTTCAATTTTCACTGACACTCGAAAAATAAACACAGACACACAGACATACCAAAAAGAGGAAGATACTTTTCGTCTGTTGCTGTTGCTGTTGCTGTTGCTGCAAGTGCAGGAGGGGCAGGTCAAGTCTTTGGGTTTGAGTTACCTTTCATAACCGAACAGGAGGTAAGTAGAGGCAAGGGGCAACCACACGGCAGCATCACGGGAGTCACCATCGCGATCGTCATTGCAATCGGAGTCTCGGAGTCGGAGTTCATTCGATATTGTTATTGATTGTGATCTGAAGAAACCTTTTTTTGGGCTCTGCGGCTTGTGTACTGTCCCCGTCTCCCCTTCCCCTGCTCCGTCACGTTTTTCATGTGACATTTATGCGGCTGGGGGTTTTCTTTCATCTTTTATTTATTTAGACACATGTACATACATAGACACATACCCGTAGACACTGCTGAAACAGCAAATATAATAACTAATAGATTATTGATAGTGCCAGCCAGCTGATAAGATTCCCCATACATACATTATTGACTTTGTGATAGTGCCGCCGACAAGGCCAGAGATCTGGTATGCGACTCCCAATTGAAATTAACATCAACTCTGGCGGTTAAGAGGTCAGTTTCGCATATTGCTCCACTTCCGCCCAGAGACGACAGTAGCAGCAGTTGCCGCTGCCGATGCCAAAGAGCAGCAGATCTTAATTAACACAAATTGACAAAAGTTCAACAAATTTGAGCCAAAAGAGCTTGGTGTCATAATCGAGAAGAGTTCATTGGCCAAGTGGATACAAGAGTATTACCTCACCCTCAGGCCTAAGCATATTCCCTCTCTAATTGCGGCTGTCGGGGTTGCCTACAACTCTACCTACTTACCCAGAGCTGAATGCAGAGCCAGAACCAGAGCCAAACACAGACCAGACTCGATGTGCTATGATGTGTGTCTGTGTGTGGGCTGTAAGTTGGCGTTTGTTGACGTCTCCTGATGTCTGTGAGCCTTGTCTGCCAGTCGGCCAGCCACACGACACGCCGATCGAGTGTCTCTAATTGCATTTCTCTCAGTGCACTTCGAGCAGCAGACGCTTTCCATGTGGGCGTTGCGGAAGGTCGTAAAATCTGAGTATTGTGCACGCACGTCCCAAAAGGTTTTTCTCAATGAAGCTTAGCGTCTATGTGACTCTTGCGATCTCTGGATACTCTAACCAGCGAAGAGGGAAGCTGTTGGCAAAAGTCTAGTCATATCTATAGCCAATTTGTGTGGCTTCATAATTGTACTCGAAACTAATCATCTTTCGAAAGGGTGTGCAGGATCTGCTGCCTGCTTGGTTCATCTCTCATATTTCTCGTTCTTTAAGGCCGCTGTGGGGGGACGTTGACTTTAATGAACGCTTTTGCGGCATGGCCTGTGGCTTGGCAAACCCGCTCACAATTCTATTTTGGCAGCAAATTTATAACTTCCTTGCACAAAATGCCATTTGGTTAGACGATTTACGCCTACCCCCTGGAGTCTGCGGGGGCGGGCACTTAAGCCGCTCAGAATCTTCGGGGCACGTGTGAGTGTCACACACTCGTATCGCATCGTGTCGCATCGTGACTCATGCCTCAACGTGGAGAGTCATCAGCACAGGCAGTGACTAGCTTTCGGGAGAGTCGCGCTGGAGAGCTTCGTTATCAGCGTTTGCTTTTGTCGTTTGCTTTTTGTTTCGTTTTTCGTTTCGTTTTCTAGTGAAAGTCACCGTTATTGTCATTGTGAGAGTGCACCCACCCCAACTCCCTTCCTCTCTGCTGCTGCTGATCTCTCCCTCTCTCTCTCTCTCTCTGCGTTTATTCCATTTCACCGAGCAGTGCAGGCACGCATGCGCCGTGACAACGACTTTAACAGAATCTTTCACGCTCCAGCAGCATCTCTCTTTCACTCCCCACACTCTGCTTCTCTTTTTCTCTATCTTTACACTGACACACTTTCGCTTTCGCTGGCTGCCCCGCCGCTGCCGCTGCCACTGCCACTGCCACTGCACTCGCCGCTGACATAATGTCCGCTCTGCTCCGTGTCTGTTCCCGATTCGCTAAACGATTATTTATCGGCTTGATTTGAATACAATGCCCTGCAGTTGTTCATTCAATTCATTCCCACCACCCCATCGATCTTCGGTCCGTTCTTCTTCTTCTGCGCGCTGCTCGCCACTGCCTGACCTCTGCCTGAGTGAAACTTAAGCTCTATTTCTCTGATTAATTATCTCCACCCCCCACCATGCAGTGGAGAGTTCGGATTGGGAAAGCGTGGCCACGGGCCAGCGGCTCTGCTCGAACGGAATTGGGTCATTGCAAAATGCCAAAACAAAATCAGCGGGAGAGAATTACAATAGATGGGGGAATAGCTGGAGATCTCTAATAGCCCAATTTAAGCATCATTAAGTGGTGGGGCAAAGGCGTAGCAGACCTACACTCAAGGTCAAAGCGTGCTTGATTGATTTCGATCATTAGAGAACTCCCAAAAGTATTCAAAGATGATTCATTCGCAGACACCTAAATCATTAGAACTTGTTCTTTCTGCGTGACTGCCTTCCACTTGAAGTCCATGAGTACTGCCAATTCTTTCATAAGTAAACAAAATATATAAATAAATGAAATAAAGTCGAATAAGGTAATGGCTCATGGATCATTGTTGCCATGGGAATGCCATTGATGCTTCTATTATAGTGATTCCGTATCGCTTGTTGGACTTGTTGGAACAGTACTTATTATCAATAGAAATGTATACAATTTCCATCCAATTAGAGCTATGGCATTGATCAGCAGAGAATCGATTTCCATCTATGAATTGTTTTACACGTAATCAAGGGTACACAGTGCGTTACAAAAGTGTAGGATAATTAAAAGAAGATTTCAAGGAGAATATTAGTTGGGAATAATTGAAGCATTTATAATTATCTTTGCTGAGATTTGGTCGTTGACATTGACACTGCCTTACAGTTCTGTAACGCACAGTACTCAAGCACTTGCACATGGTTATAATGAAGTCTGAGAGTCTGAACCGAGCAGCCGGCAACCTTCAAATGCCAGCGACTGTTTCTCGTCGGGTCTCTGCTTTGCTCTGAGTGCGAGAGAGAGAGAGAGAGAGAGAGAGCTTTTTAGACTGCATAAATTGAAGAAAAATGAATATATCCAAAGTGGAGTGTCTTGAAATTCAATTTAAAAATGCAATCTTTCCTAACAATTGTTAGTTATTGTCTCTCAGTTTTCTCGAGGGCCTGTCAAACAAAACAAAAGTCACTCGGCATTCCGGCTGTATTAACCATAGCCATATTAACCAAAACAAAGCCCAACACAGCTGTTTATCAGCCAAAAGCAAAGCCAAACCCAAAACACACACAAAACCAATATCAAAAATCCAAACAAAAACCAATTGCGTACCAGAGTTCCAGTTAGAATTGAACCTATCCAACACTCGATGCAAAATTCGCTGAAGCTGAAACAAAACAAAAAATAAACATTGAAAATATGTTGTTGAACAGGTTT